ATGTTGCCTATGCTCTTCCCCCACCCCAACCTAAATACCCAACTTTTTCAGGATTTTATTTGCTTCAAGAATTTAATTATTCTTTTAAAAATTCACACAAACCCAAAGGAACTAATGTGTTGCTTTACTTTTTTTACGCAAAAATAACGTTGAAGTTTGTGTTCTATAACTAAAAAAGAAAAGGAAAAATTTCACATAAGAACAACTGGGATCCTTACTTTTCAATTTTATAGCTCATATTTTAATTTACAACCAACTAGCCGAAAAATAATAGGCTAAGATTCAATATTCAACTCCAATAGGTTCTTAAAATTACTATTTAATTTTTAGAAAAGATTGCTCAAGCTTTTAAGTTAATTTTCGAATCAGTAACTGTACTCAAATATTTGTTCAACAAACCAAATTCATTTGGGTGGTGAAGATTAGATTTTTAACAAGCTTAAATATGTGGGTTAAAATTCCGAATTTGATTTTGTGAGAAATTTGGAGTGGGTGTTATTTAAACTTGTTAGAAATAGTATAAGGGGGTTGTATATAAAATTTGAAGTCATTTAATGGAGATTTGGACTTATTTTGAACAAGAATTGCAATTTAAAATCGTGGAAGAATTTCGTCTACGGACGCTTGTATAAAGGTGTATAAAAGTATATAATAGTGTATAAGATGTGTTTATACATTCATATACACTATTATACAAGATTATACATAATTATACAAAAAACTGACTTCGTCTTCTTCCTTGCGTCTTTTCTGAAATTTAACTCAAATCTTGCTCAAATCTACTCCAAATCACTTCAGATTTAAATTTTGGACTCCTTTTGATATTTTCAATCAATTGGAACAACACCCAATCCAAACAACTAACAAACTCAAAAAATTTTATTTTCGAAAGCAAAGCTTTGAATGGACTTCAATGGTGGACTCTACTATTCAATATTTTTACATTGCAACCAGGTGACATAGGGGGAGAAGCAGTAATGGCGGACGGCCCCTTGAAGCATATGTAAAAGATGTGAGAAGAA